GTCTCAAAGTGGATCGCAGTGTACGTCATACTCCCCGTGCCCCCATCCCTTGTCATCACGCAAGTTAAAAAAAAGCGAAAAAATTACCTTCTAATCGATATCTCCCTACTCCCAACATTTCATTTTCTCCCTCCTCTTTACATTTTCGCCCCAATTTTCCCCTCCTCCTTTCTTTTTCGGGCCATTTCTTCCTCCCTATTTTGTTCCTCTTCCCTCAAAACAAAGGTGGTGTAGGTGGGAGACTGAGTTATTTTGTTCGGGAAAAATTTGTTTTCCAAGCCTAATTAACTGTGATCAAAGGTGCACGATTGCTATTTTTTGGGTGTACATATGAGACTATTAACTCGATGTGAGATTTGTTTCATTCTTGGACTGTTTGCAAATTATTTTTCCTCTAATATCACTTAGTCTTTCCCGCAAAAGTCATATAAATCTTCCCTAAAGTTAACTGATTTGTGGATTACAATTTTATTTGATTTAAACAATAAATTTAATAGCAGGAGCTTCGCGTTTAGCCCTGGCTAAATCTATATGTAATTTATCTTATGAAAAGAGGAATAAACCATGAACAATCAAGTATTTGCGAACATTTGCAAATTGACTCTTAAAAGTTAAGATAAAGAAATTAAACTACCTTCAATCCTATATTAAGCCTCCCCCTTTCAAATGAGCCCTCCTTTCCCAGGGGAAGAAATTAAAGTTAATGTGTCCCCCTCTCCTCTCCATAATTATTCTTAACTGATGCATAATAGACTTTAATAATTAACCAATACTATAACACTTCACATGGACTGATCTGGTCAGGTTTCTTCTACTGGTATTCACTTGCTGGAGGTTCCAATTTGTTTTTGACCTTCAGTTGCATCACTTCCTACTTGGGTTTTTCTAATTTGAGTTCTGGTTCACAATCAATTTGTTGTGATGAAGACACAGCCGATCTCCAAGAGGACTTGTATAGATTAGAAGATTGGCAACAAAAGTGGAAGATGGAATTTAATCCTTCAAAGTGCAAGATCATGTGTTTTACAACCAAGAGAGATCCACCAAAGCGGGAATACGTATTCTGTGGACAAATCCTAGAAGAAGTGGAATCTCACCCTTATCTGGGGGTAGTCCTCGATAACAAAATGAGGTAGTCACCACACATTGAAACAATCACATCTAGGGCAAATAAGGTCTTGGGACTTATCAAGCGAAACCTGTGGAATTGTCCAAAGTCAGTGAAAGAAACCGTGTATATGACACTTGTGAGGCCAAAACTCCAGTATGCCTGTAGCGCATGGGACCCACATTACCAGAAAGATAAAGCCGCTCTAGAAAGGGTACAGCGGAAAGCAGCCCGCTTTGTCACTGGAAATTACGATCGAACAACGAGCGTGACGGAAATGCTGCAAGACCTACAGTGGGACACACTTGAAACAATGAGAAGACACGCAAGGCTCTCCACTATATACAAGATGTGCCACGGCCTCCTAGATGGGGATTGGGGGGATTATTTGATAACAAGCAAAGAAAGGAGAACCCGGGGAAGCCATGATTTTAAATTTATTGTACCGAAAGGACATAAAGATATTTTTAGATTTTCTTTTTTTCCCAGGACAATAACTGAATGGAACAAACTTCCAGAAGAAACTGTTTCCAGCCAATCCCTCTGTATTTTTAAAAGCAAACTAATTTAGTTTTATTTTTTATCAGTAGTTTTTAATAATTTTTTAATAGTTTTGTATATTTTAGTATAGTTTTATTTATTATTATCTTAGAGTTGGCGTGATGTCCCAAACGATTTTGCCGACATAACGATTTAGATTTAGAATCATTGTCTTTGCTAAATAAAGAATATAATACGTCCCCCATGTCTGTTAAGCCCCTGCCAAACGTCATGAAACGTGCTTGAAATAGATCAACCCCCTGGGGTGCTTAATAAAGGATTTAGGTTACTATATACCTTTTACAGCCCAAAATGATTACTGTTACTTAACTAATTTTCATATAATGAACACTTCATATTTACAAACCATGAAATGAGTGTCAATTCTATGCTGTTACTATGCACTTCACATTTAATGTCTTAGAAAAACGAATACTTTCAACTAACAAAACGTGTATATGAAAACAAGAAAGCTAAAATGTACATGTACGTGTACTGTCCACTAATCATTATTTTTGGTTAAAAAACAACGAGTAACACAAGAACGAAATTAGGTTCAAAAGCTAAGAAAACAATGATGACTGAATGTGTCCTTCAAATGTTTTGCAAAGTGCCTGCAATACACAGACCAATAGACAACAAGCTCACTAACAAATTGTTCCATCAATCAATGGGAGAAGGCCATCAAAAATATTTTTACCCCACATTGTATCTCAAATCTTAGGCTGGTCAACTTTTGGGATGGAATATTATCATAAAACACACTATAAAAATATAAAACATACTGAATTTTTAAAAAGGCCAGAGGTTCCAGCAGCGAATGACTGTGTTGCTTGTTGTATCTTAATCCTATTCTAAACTATCTCATGCTGACAGCGTGCAAAGAAAGTCGTGTCCGATAGCCAGAGCTAGTTGATTTTGCTATACGCTCTTCTCACATATGGTAATATGCCCGTCTAACCTCGTTTACGGGTAAAAATTCTATTGAAATTCAAATACGAAAACGTCGTCTGATTAGCATTTCAAAGGATTTTTTACTCAAAAACAAGGTTAGACGGGCATATTACCATAAGTGAGAAGAGCGTATTGGGCTAGTGATTTTTTTTCTTAACTTGCCCAACAGGCAAGTGCTGTGTTTTGGGGACATTCAAATTACAGAAGGATTGTAATCAATCCTGCTAATCAAAAAGGGTTTTGGGGCTAATTGAAATGACTTATGGGCTAGTACATACTAGCTACTGCTTGCCCAAATGGCAGGCTGTAAAACTGACTTTCTTTGCACCCTGTGCTGAGGAACTACAGTCAAACCATGTTAATAGGGACTATGAAGAGAACATAGAAAGTGTCCTATAACAAGAGTGTCCTTATTAAGCAGGTTAGATTTAGAGCAAATGTAAGGGCTTTCTTTCCCCAGGGACAAAGTTAATGGTCTGCAATGATGAGGTGCTCGTAAAGTGGGTGTCTGTCAAATGGGGTTTGACTGTAACTTAACCCTTTAAGTCCCAAGAGTGACCAAAGTCAATTTTCTCCCAACAGAATCAATACATAATCAAAGGAAAATGTTGTGAGAATCAATGAAATAATCACCTGATGGGAAAAGCTTTGATCTGCTATCAAATTCTCTTAACCAATTCTTGCAGGAAATGTATGGAGATCAGTCTGGAGAGTTTGTATTTGGATACTAGGGCTTAAAAGGTTAATACACCCGCTCACCTACATGTACATCTTTTGGCCATTTCCAAGTTGAAGGTGAGGCTGGGTCGATGTTGTGTCCAATTGCACTATGAAACTGTGTGGGTAACCTGCAAAAACAGCTGTCTCTCTTCATTTCTTGCCGCTAGGGATGTTTTGCTATGAAAGACAGTGTGCATCAGCAACAGAAATTCCATACTGGTGATGTAAAATCTGTCCAGAATCTGGTCAGGAGCTCTGAATGGTCAACGTAGTAGTTACATTGTTTTAGCTATAGTTAACGAATGACAGACAAAATGACAAAAGGCCACAAAGGTCAAATGTAAGTGTGATGAATCTACAGATGCATTACAAAGCAGTAAATATTCATGGAATATATTTCTCTTTAGAATAAGCATTTGAGCTTCACTGGAGCTTGTTCGCAGAAGAACACAAAAAGGTACCAAAATCCACCAGGAGAAACATAAAATCAAACAAATCACATTTGGAACCCTATGTGGGTTTACTGGTTTAATTATGTAAACACTGATTTACGTCATCAGTATGGAATTTCTATCACCGAGGCCCAGACATCTCTCCTGGTGAAATGTCCCAAGTGGCAAGGAGAGAGGAGAGACAGCTGTTTTGACAGGCTACTGTTTGGGATGTTATCACCCCCTCCTTTCATTGGCTAGTATGAATTTGGTGTAGAAACTGGGTCAAAAACCATCTCCCAAAACAGTCCTTCGATTTCCACACAACAGTGGACCCAGCCTCAGCTACAGGCCAACTGAAAATCATCCTAATGACAGCCTGCACCACGGACAAAACTAAATATCTGGTTAGGTCCATCTGCGAGCCAGTGCTGAAATCCCTGTTCTGGGGGTCCCACCTATGTACCAGGGCTGGGTTAAAGCGACATTTGAATTCAAACACAAAAGCTAAATTCAGTTTAATTCTTTTTATCTACAATGTGAATATAGCATGGATGCTCTGAAAAGGATAGGGAAAATCATCCCAGAAAATGCATTTGAACAAAAGAAAAAAACCCAAGTTAAAATTTAAACCCGGGTTAGCCCTAAACGGCCTTCAAACAACTGGGCCCAGGATTTGAGTGTATGCCATAAAAGTCCTGTTAAAAAGCCATTGTTGATTTGCCAATTAGATTGAAGAGAAACTTGACAGGCACTCAGGTAATTGGTTGCGTCTTTCAGGGCGCAGAACAAGGATCTCAGTGTTGCTTCACAAAGGTTACTAAAAGGGATAAGATTATGACTGCAATGCAGTCTATTAAAATTAATGAGGGCCTACTATGCCCTCAAATAATGCCCACATGTAGAATGTCCAAATATCAGTTGAACAAGCCATGCAAAATAAACTGTATACATGCAGTGGCAGATCCAGACCTTCAGATAAGGGGGGGCCTGGTCATCCAGACCCTGAGATAAGGGTTAGGGTTAGGGGGCCTGGTCTGGAACAAATTTTTTTCGTTTGGTCCAAAAATAAGGGGGGAGAGGGGGTGGGCCCTCCGGGCCCCTCCCCTGGATCTGCCACTGACATGTAGCTGCAGTACCTCCAAAGATGGGATCAAAGAACATCAAAGCATTTCATTGACTCAACCTACTCAGTGCAGATCCATCTTATCTCAAAGTTGTGTGCTACTTAAGCATGGTAATGAACCTTAATGCATACTGACAAATTTCTCTAGTGTTTTTGGCACCACGTCCAAATAGGGAAGTCCAAACTTTCTTACAGCCCTTGCACTAAGACACTTTAACTCAAAGTTTCTGTAATTTGAAAGAGTTGCACGTGCTTCATCAGTTTGTGCCAATTCCATGGCAGTTTGGCCATTATGATTGACAAAATCTTGATGAGCACCCCTCTCAAGCAAAATTTTCAATACGCTTGTCACAAGGTGGATCTTGTCATTGCCAAGCTTTCCAGTTACGGCTTTGTGAAGTGGTGTATTCCCCATGTAGTTGGTGGCATTTACACTGACACCTTTGTCCAAAAGAAGTTTTGTGGTAACAGGGCATGGGAAAGTATCTTTCTTGCTGCGCTTTATCACCACCTTGTGTAACAATGTATTCCCAAGATCATCTTGAGGATTGAGGTTGAGAAGTTTTTTCAGCAATGATAATACACTTGAGGTTCTGACTTCTTCACATTTAGCAATGACTTGAACAAGCCTGGCAGATGAATAGAGCAATTCTCTGAACATTGTGCTGTTAGGAGAGATTTTCTCTGATCTTTCTTGAAGTTCATTCTTCAACTTTTTCTCATACTCATATTCAAGTACTGTTTGCTCCAGCAATTCAAGTAATTCTTCTTCCCTTGGATGAACGTTGCTCCCAAATTTTTGGCTTAAAATAGCAATCAGTGAACATAAATCAGAGAAGGCTGATTGATGGCAAAGTCGAGCTATCTTCATTGCATGTCTGTGCAAACCAATTGACACATTTAAGTTTCGATACCGGTCAAAAAAATACTCAGCAACTTCACGAATAGGTTCAATAAGTTCCATGTTATCAGTTCCTAAAATCCTCTCTCTAATGACAAGCCCCTCCATAAGAATGGTACGTCTGTTATTTTCTATCTGGGCAAGTTCTTCAAGATTTTGACTCTCCCTTCTATTCTGGTAAGCTTCAATTGGTTGTCCTGGTTGTTTCAACACTGGGTGTGAGGGATCTTCAAACCTTTCTCCCATTCCTTCCTCAATGTAGTCAAACCCTCTCCTATATCGCTTAGAATGCAAATTTGTGGTAGCAAGTGAGGCACCAAGAAGCTCAAGTGCATCGATTCTTTGCTCATCTGTGTAATCTACCTCCAAAAGCAATTTCTCCACCAATGAAATCATGCCTTTATTACAGGCAAACAGAAGTGGAGTTAAGCGTTGCTTATTGTACAATTGAGAAGCTCCAAGACTCAGAAGTGTTTGAAAGACTTCAACTTGCTTGTCTGGAATGGGATCATGGACAGCATAATGCAGAGCAGTATTACCATATTTGTCTTGATGATCTAAGTTAGCCCCATGTTTAACAAGGAACTCTATGGCATCAATTCTTCCATTGAAGCTTGCATCCATTAGTGGGATACAGCCCTCATCTGGGGTAACTGCATTAACATCAGCTCCATTTTCAATCAGGCAATTCAAAACATCCACATGTCCATTACCCGAAGCAACAAACAACGGTGTACACAAACGATACCTACCACCATCATGCCCATATCGGAGCACACGTCCACGTCCGTCGACATCTGCCTTGTACCTTAGAAGTACTTTTACACAATCTGTCTTCCCTTCCATTGATGCAGCAAGAAGTGGTGTCAGTTGTCCCTCTATTAACTCCACAAACGTGGCTTCGAATGTATGCTCTCTTTCACTATCATCCATATCTTGAAGAAGTTCATTAAGTAACGCAGCATCTCCAGATTTAGCAGCTTCATAGACTTTTGATGGCTCATTATCATCAAAAGAGTTGTCAGAATCATCACAGTCATCAGAACACAGGTCGAACTCCAACGAAGATTCAGAAGATTCTTCACGTGCGCATGCCATATTTTCTAAGATTAAGCTACCCTTCTACAGTCAGTTATATCCACAAACTGTGATTACCTCGAAAGACCTCAAAACAATGAGAAATAGCTCAAACAAGCGTTCGTTGTGTGCAATAAACCGATGCAAAACAAAATACAAACCAAATACACCTCCGCGTGCTCAAAGCTGGAACCCAGTCTCTTGGCCGAACTGGACGTTTCATAGTGCGCCATGTAGACGAAGACTAATTGTCACCGGCTCTCTTGAAGAGAACTGGTTTCCTTCACATTTTCTACTCAATTGTTGTTCAGGTGTATATGAATGTATCTTCTTCATACACTCTTCTTTTCTATAGGCTGAAATTTGCAAAATCTTAAGAATATGATGAGAATAAATCCAAGGCTGAAAAGCATATAATTCTAAAAAGAAAAACAACGTAGGGCGTTCTGTCTCTCCGCCCAGCGTGTCCTCCAGTGCATTCTAAAACGGAAAAGTATGAGACTAATACAAGGATATTTTCAGTCCAAAATTGGCAGAAAAATGGGAATATTCACCCTAGGCTGAAAAACAGCACAAAAAGAAAAGACTATATCAAAAAATATAAAAATAAAATAAAGTGAAAAAAAACAACAACAACAACAACAAAACTAACGAATAATTTTCCAGAGGACGTCAAGTGTACTGAAACTGCGATTGTACCACATTTTATTACCGTTCCAAAATTTTCTAGTTTTAGCAACAGAAACTACCGAATCTATTCAATTAACCCCCCTTATGATGTGTATGTCAAGGTTAATAAGAATCACATCGTCAGTGACTCGTGAGCCAACCGGAAACCGGATGAAGATTGTCTCATCCGATTATCCTGATCAGCTTAATGGAATAACGTTTTAAGGGAGCGGTCTTGTTGGGGAGGTAGTCGGCAGTGATCATCAATCAGCAATAGTCTCCCTTAGCCTACAAATACAGAGCAGCCTTCTCTCCTCACTCCCTTTCGCGGGAGAGAAATATCATCAGTCTTGGAGCGAGGAGTAAAGAGAGACGGTTGCATTCGAAGACTATAGTGGCAGACTTATGATTTTTCACAAACTCCTCTGCAGTCCCCAACGACGGGAATGAGTGCGTGACTGACTGAGAAACACAAAAACTTGCATTGAAATTTACTGTGGAATAGCCTGTTCCAGGCTCTCAGATAGTGGGAATGCGCGAAAGAGTGGGGAAGACGCGAAAGTGAATGGCGCGCGAAAAGGGGTTTCCTACGGTGTTTTTTTTTCGGGTTGGTCCTTTCTCAATTCCGCGGACCCAACAAGTCGGAAACTGGAACAGGTTAACTGGGGAATAGAGAACAAGACAACGCAGAAGGGCAGCTTTGAAAAGGCAAATATTTAAACTAGTATAACAGCTAGTCTAATCATCTCGAGGGTGTGGTCTGTTACATCATTCATGACCTGAATGATGTGTCCTTTCCTTGGAATTAAAATAGTTTATTTACTTGGGGACACAAGCCAGGGATAAGCCTGCCTGTACTGACCCCCATACTCTAAACCTATGGCATATATCACATATCAGTTTCATTTAGGATACGTTTATGATCATTGTCGTTAGTTGTTTCCCGCGAATTGACATAAGCCGGCTTTGGGGGGGTTCATAATTTAACTGTATACTGGCATGGGCAAGAATTCAGAAAAAAATGGAACCCAGGAGCACCTTGGTGTTCTTTTCGTCAAAGAAGTTTCTGATCCGAAGATTTTAACGTGTGGTGTGTGGTGAGTGGGATTCAACATTCACGGAAAATTGCAAACCAGGGCTTTTCACATGGGTAGAACTGGATCTAAATAAACGAGCACCTAGCAAACGCCTAGCTCCGCGCTCAAGCTCTCTCGACGAACACTGCTTTCGTTTTCGATCCGAGACAAGCGAAAGGCTTGGAGCTAAGGGGGAAAGCTTGCATGTGGGCAAGAAAACGTGCCCTGTCACGAATACAACTATCTGCATGTAGTGAATGGGCCAAGACTCGTACCCTATTTTTAGTACTGGAGGTCTAAAATAAGCACCCTTTCCTTTTTCACGTCATTGCAAAATATATATGGCATACTGCGAGTCCAGTTAATAAGGATAACCAGAAAGAAAGTGAACTTTTTGGGATGAGAAAAAAGGTAATTTCTTGATCATTGACTAATTGTTCATGTCAAGCAAATTGCCTAAAAAGGAAACCGTCAACTTTGATCGAGGGCATGTCTGGGAGGATTTCAGACAGAATTGGAACAGAAAAATATTAAATAGAGTTAATAGTCCAACATTTGCAAAAAGGCACGCAAAATATCGATCGCATTAGTTGTATTAGAAATTGAATTCTTGCCCAAATCCAACCATGCATCCCTCCCTCTTCTTAAAAGCTAAATCGGGATCGGCCCCTGAAGTACCGATGCATCATTTCTACACAAATTAATACAATTTCGGCCCCATTAAGAAATCAGGCCTGATCGTTTGCGGATGCTGTTAATTGTTAGGTAGCCTCTTGTTCTAAGTTTCCTTTCCCGATACAATAAAAGCTGAGTGTATCTCGTGTTGTACGTAGGCCGGCAAGGCTCACCCTTTCTCTCTAATCTGGCGCCTTGTTGATTTGAGGTTCGGCTAGACAGCACTCTTGTTTTAAGCTGATCATCAACAAGGAATGTTTTATAATCCTTGAATTATTTACTGAAATTGTTCCGGTATGCAAACAACTACACACTAATATAATATTGTTCTGGGTAGCGAGGGCCGACGCCAACGTTCAAAGCGAAGGTGCCGGACGGGTCTTTATGGTTGTAGTCAGCAGTAGTCACTGGTTTCCTTAGCTTAATTTGCAGCTTAAAAAGTATTTCGAAAAAAAGGAAATCATGATAAAAAAAGTACATTTCTGGCTAGCTGTAGAGTCAGCCTTACATCGTTACTTTATATTGCAATCTTGACCCAGCCACATTTTCCAGCATTTTTATGCTGCTGGGCTAAATATATCGGCAGCTTATCTGCAGCTTATCTCGGATATTTTAGTCTTATTGGGTATATTGTCCTTAAACGTTTGTCTGGAGTCACAAAGATGCGGCAAAAGCTTAAATTCCTTTGCACGGAAAATCCGATGCTTGCAGTGTCGTGTCTAG